CCTCCTTACCACCATGCTGGATGAGCTTGGGGTCGAGTATATTGAAGATCTGACCTTGGTGGAGGAGAGGGATCTGGCGAAATACCTCAAACCTATCCAAAGTCGGAAGTTAATGAGGGGCATCAAGGATGGTAAATTCATCTGTTCACCTATTGCACTTTTCACTCTTTCATGTCACTGAACTAGGGCCTTAGAACATTGTCACAACTGGCACGACAATATACTTTGTATGTTGTCCCAAGCTCACACATTGTTTACCTGTCAAATACTATTGGATGACATGAATAATCACAGGTGTGCAGCACAGCTTATAGACCTTATTAATGTGTGTGCCATTTGTTCAGTGTGACGTAATGGGTTGGGGAAATGTATAATAGGCATACAAAAGTATAATTGGAATTACAAACTCATCAAAACTGGTCTGTTTTTCACTGTTTTCACATCTGTAAATACATAGAAGTGAATGCAGCTGATGCTTATTACTTGCATGCATTTCCAAACTTAATAACAATAGCAGTGAAAAACAATCAGACCCTGTTATGATCAATTTGTAATTCCAATAGTGTATTGGCCTGTTATTTTAACTATTGTTTAAGTGGCATTATGAGAGCAATCTTTGAACATGAGTCAATGGACACTTCTGGATGTTCTCCCAACCCATTATGTCACATTCAAACTTATGGCACTCGTGTGAATAAATTTGAATTGCTTCATCCAATAGTGCTGACAGGAAACCAATGTGTGAGCTTCCTCCAGGAAGTACTGGATTAGGACTACAGTTATGTACACAGTCTATTGACCCATGGCCCTACATCTTTCCCTATCTTAATTAATAAATTGTTTTTTGTGCCGTCAAGGACTTGTTACTCTTAATATGGTGTTGGTCTCTGCTCCTGATCAAAGTGCTCCAAGTTCCCCAACTCCCTGTTCTTCAAACACAACATTCCAGCCTCCAAATCAGCTGTTGCCCAGCCCTCCAAGCACTGCCCCAAACACGTCAAGCGCTTCACAGCCTGGCGTACCATGGCATGTTGACTTTCGTCTCAATTGGGACCAGATGTCATCAGCCATTCGACTTAAAGTGGAAAAAGAAGAAAGACCATTGCCAGATGAGAGAAAGGCCTTCGTGGTCGTGCTCGTGGACCAAATGATGGACCACGACCGCAACCCAACCAGAGCCATGTGCCACAATATTGTGAGAAACATTGTCAGGTAGGGATGGGACTATTATCAATATTAGCTGTCAGTTAATCACCCGCTTTAACTGTTTGTAACTTTTACTGATTCATTTCCTGCACCTATGATGTTACAAGGGTGCAAAACTGAAGACTTTGTAAACATGGTTTGTTTAAACGGAGCTAGTATATTCAAGAAAACCATACTAATTCACATGTTGTGATGTTTTTTTCAAGCATGGTTCTTTCCTTTAAGTAATCCTCACATTAGCTGTACGCTTCTTTCGTAAGTGCCACAATGGTGACATGTTTTCTAATTATCCCACCCACATTTTCAGGAGCCATCCAAAATCATTTGGCGACATTGGCAAGCATGGTGATATTGCTGGAGACGGATGTCACTCTCTTCTGCAACAAGTAAAAACGAGAGTGGAGTACAAAAATAGGAATAATACTCTTGCTCAACACCGCAGAGAAAGAAGACAGCGCACGGGAATGGCAGGAGAGGCCAGACTGGCAAGAGGTCCTGTTGACAAATACGGGTAAATGGCAATATGTATGTCGCAATATACACGTTAAGTCTGTCAATATTTGTTCGAAAGCATTGTATATGACCATGAAAAACCCTGAAGAAGGACAAAACATACTTTTCTCTTGACTACTTCATTGACACTTTGACGTGGACCCTTTTCACAGCAAGCATGTTGTGATTTTGATAATTACCTGTTATTATGGCCTTGTTCCATTTAGGATTTAGCTGAGCCAGGGCGCTGATATTGTGCATAATGGCTCTCTGTCATGCATGGTTGTATTGCACTAAATACCTTGACCTTAAAGGGATATTCCACCATTCGGGGAATTAAACTCATTTTCCACCTCCCCTCGAGTAAAACAATGGATTTTTACCTTTCTCCCATTCATCCAGCAGTTCCCTGAGTCTGGCGATACCCCGTATAGCTCCAGCCTTTCATAGATCATTGGATCGGATTAAACCATTAGCATCTTGCTCTCAAAGTGACTAAGATTTACGGAATTTTTCCTATTTAAAAGTTGTCTCTTCTTCGGTTAGAACGGAAAATGTAAACGGAAAATGAAATCAAGGAACGCTTTGAATGTACTATAGGTGTAGTGATATCACAAAGTTTACATTGTTCTTTAGTTTCCTTTTCCATTTTACGTCCTAACCAGAGAAAAGACTCATTTTAAAAAGGAAAAATTCAGGAAATCTTTTTGGATCGGATTAGACCATTAGCATCTCGCCCTCAATGATCTATGATAGGCTGGAGCTATACGGGGTATCACCAGACTCAGGGAACTGCTGGTCAAACGGGAGAAAGGTAAAAATCCATTGTTTTACTTGAGGGGTGGAAAATGAACTTTATTTTAGAGGGGTGGAATATCCCATTATTTAGTTTGATAAAATACACCAGTGTTTACAACACTACACTGTAACATAACTTCTGTGGGATGGGTTTATTTAGACAGTCACAACAGGGAATAAAACTGCTGACCCTTCAGTCATGAGACTACTTGCTCCAAATTCTGAGTTACAACCGTCCCCAATAGTATTGTTACCCTCTGATGCCCACTCTCTAGGTGTGTCAGGTGGGGCCCAGCAGATTGTCCAGAGGGGGAGACCGAGGCAACGTTGGAGAATATGAAGAGGGATCTGCTGAAAATCTATTCTGGTATGCCATCTATTCTCTTTTTTGGTAATTTTGTTTAGACTTAAGTAATTGGTCAAGATCTGAACACTGTGTGTTGGGTGGCTACAAGACCAAATTGTTGCTTGGGTACTAACAATAAATTTGTATGTCTGTATACACAGAGGAAGGAATGAGTGGGGCAGAGAGAGCAGAACCAATGATGGAAAAGACATACGTTATCCTGCGGAAATACCTTAACAAAGTGCCTGCTGCAGCGATGTCTGAGATCAAACAGGAATGGCCATTTCTCTTCTCTCAGAAATGCCTGTTCTTACACTTTGGCCTCCTGACGGACATCGATGTCCTTCAGAAGTTACAGGAGGCAATTAGGCGA